AAAAAAAAAGTTTAACTGGTAATGCATTACATATGAGGAGTCTTATAACTGTGAAACATTAAGCAATGAAAACTGACACTAGTGAACTCTGCCCTCAAGAATTTCTTTCCTGTGTAATGTCCTGCCTCTTTTTGTCAGTGTAGTGCTAGAAATCTGTCATCTGTAAGCCAATCAATGCCAGAAGCAATGAGAAGGGAAAAAACGACTTTAACAATCTGAAACATGGAGAGATAATGATGTTAAAGAGGAAACAAAACAATATTTATCTAACACAGACTCCCAGTAATGGATGGCCATGAACTGGTTATCACACGCAGGGAGGAATTACAATACAAGTCAAGCTTCATCTTTCGACTGACGGTAGTTTCTTATTTAACAGAGTGCGCAGTCAGTCGCATGCAGTGGGTTAAAAACACTTGAAGTCACAGATTTTACGTTAACTTTACTTACCTACAGAGACATTCTTATACATGCTAAAAATAATACAAGACACGCCTCCATACAGAGCTAAAACATAATAATAATAGTATAAGAATAACCTAAAAATATACAAACACTTAGAAACCATCGGGCTTCGTATCGTCCATAACACTGGAACGAGTCTGATCCTAACCTGGCCTAAAGTAACGGGGTACTTACAGCGTGCTTTCCTGGAGAGTACTGCTTGAACGTGGTAGAAAGGGAAATCGGCGGCACTACAGCCATAGATTTCCATTGCTCCGGCTCCTGACCGACGTGTATGGCATCTGTTGCAAAGGATTTATAAGCCGTGCGGAAACCGGCGAATAAATCGCTTTGTTCTTCTTTTTTGTCCATGGTACTCATGGCAGTGCGCTCCAAAAATGACTGCTGCGGGCTGAAGATGAGTACGCATTACCCGTGCCCAGTAATGGTAAAAGACATTTAATGGAGCCGTGCGCTGCGCTTGTCTCTCGGAGCCAATCAGCGCTCGACACAAACCGCGATGTGGCGCTGATTTGCTGGGGGTTAGTGGGCGTCCAGCCCACGTGGCCATGCACGTTGTTTACGCTGTTCGTCGTGATGCAACGTTTCCTGCTTTTTAAGTCAGGGTACGCGTCTCTTTTTCCAACACGGTGCCTACTTTTTTAACACGAATGTGCTACTGCACGTTGTTTCCTCCTGGGTTTATAATTCAGGTGTTTACCCAAAGACAGTGATTTATGTTGTTTTGTAACGCAACAGAGTCAGTTTACAATAAAACGGACTTGGGGGGGAATACTCGATTTTTCAGCAGCCGCAATAAAAGTTCTTGTGTTGGTGGCACAATTCACAGAATCTGGTGCATTTTTTAATCCAATCATATTATTATTATCGCTATTTTGTTTTCTTCTTTAAAAACATTTTTGTGTCTGAAGCTGTGTTTCCAGGAGTGAACCACAGGGGGAGGAAGTGCTCTGTAATGACTTTGAACGAGAACAGTCCGCTTTGCTTTATTGTGTGCAGTTTTCTTCAGTTTGTTGAGCAAATTCACACAAGCGCGTGGAGTTAGTGTGATCTCAAAGTGAAAACAACATCAAATAAATATAGGAACATTTCTGGCTATTTGTTTTTTCTGTCATGGAAACAACAAATTGAATCTTTCTATCAGAACTACATTATCTTTGTTGGTGTAGTCACAACATTTTGGTGTCAGTGAGACAGTGGTAACACGATAGAGGTGTTTTTGATACAGATTTAAGTATTTGTTGTTGTTTTTCATGAATACTTTTATGTATAGTAATGATTTAGCACGTAGACAGTGGGTGTGCTCTGGTATGGAACGATCTGTGGAAAATCAGAGGACTCTGTGCAGTCCTGTGATTTAGTAGCTTAAAGAAGAACCTTTTGCAGCAGTAACTTGAAGTTTTCCGTGTGACTTTATCAGTCTCTCACATTGTTGTGGAGGAATTTTGTTCCACTCCTCTTTACAGCGTTGCTTCACTTCATCCAGTTCTGTGTGCACTTGTTGTGTGCACAGTTTTCTTAAGTTTGTTATACAGTATTTAGTCAGCTTGAGGTCTGACTTTGGGCCCTTGAACCACCTTGATTCTTTTTTTTCCTGCTATTCGGCTGTAGATTTCCTGCTGTGCTTGGGATCGTGAGGGACTCATATTTGACTCTAGAATACTTTGGTTTACAGAGAAGTTCATGGTCGATGCAATGAATGCAAAGTACCCATGAAGGTGAAAATAAGTCCAATTCATCAGCCCTCTGCCACTGTTGATATGAGGTGTTTGTCCTGATATGCTTGTGTGTGCATTATTAAATTATAACATCTCCACTTTGGTGTTGTGTTCATTGTCCAAAAAGTGTTGTGGTTTCTTTAAATGCCTAAGCTGTGCTGCCATGACCTTTTTATAAAGAAGTGGTTTTCTCCTGGCAGCCCTTGCAAATAAGAAAACCAACAGGCTCAACTGTGTGTCTCAGACAGTGTTAATGGAGCGTGTTGTTTTGTACATGTTTCAAGGATTTAGGTCTGTGGTTGGAGTGCACAGCCAGTGTTGCATGCTGACAAACTATCAATTGTTACCACCTGTGCCTATTAGGGATTAGGTCCCGGTAGTGTTTTGTGGATGGCTGCGCCCACATGTGCATTAGAACTGCTGAGGAAAGCCTTGTGCTAAAATGCATTTGTATTTTTCTTATTATCTAGTAATATTAAAGATTTTACACATGAAATTGTGAGTGCTGTAGTTCTTATTCATAAGTTAATACTTCCAAACAAGTTATATTTGTTCAGCTTTCTTCTAATTGTACTGTCATGAACTTAAACATTGAATTTGTTAACCGAAGTCTGCAGAATCTGAAGAGTAGGTTTTGGGCTTTTGGCAGTTTCTCTGAGCATTGCACTGTCTGAACTGGAAATCCACTCTTGGAAAGACTGTTGCATTGTTTTAACACAAACTGTGAAAACTTCTGCTTTTACACTTCCAGATAATCAGTAAATCAAGTCCATTTGATTAGTATCTGGCTGCTACTTACTCGCATAATTCCTGTGGAAGCAGAAAGGGTGTATTTAGTTTGAATGCACAGTCACATGAAACCTCACATGACTGTGACTACTGTAAACAAGATCTCACCTTTGTTTTAGGAAACTGTGGACATTTCATGGTTTTGCAGGTATCCAAACAAATCAAGCTGCCGCTGCTATGGCCTTTTCTTGGCAAAGTACTCACTACAGTTTGAACAGAAATTCTGTGAATAAGGGCTTAGAGATCGTCGTGTTTTGTTTTGCTTTTGTCTAAGTATGTTTATGACTATTTATGAAACGGAATCTGTCATATTTCTTGTATTTTAAATACCTTTCTTTTTTCCTGAAGCACTGAGTCCATCATTGTCAGAAAGAATTAATGTTCATTGTTCACTCAGGCTTTTGGTCATACACTTTATTTTAAATGATAACATGAAATAGATTATACACTAATTACTAATTAGTGGTGATAAAGAAATGCATTCGCTGAGGTATCTGGGTGCAATTTTAAATACATGTTTATTTCTGTTCTTCTTAGTATAGATCTTCCACTATAGATTCATATGAGAGTTAATATTCCTGGTTATTTATTCGAGCTATTCAATGCAGATGATCCACAGAGAGTATGATACACATAAGATTTCCATCTCCAGCTCTAAACTTTTAAAGTTTTAAAGCTGAGGTCTGTGGCTGAAATTAACACTTCCATATAAAAACATTCAGCTGATGTACTATGTGGTCATTAAAATGTAGAACTTTTATTGTCATCGATGTACATTGATGTATTTTGTAGTATGACCTTTAAAAAAATTAAAGTACCTTAACATTTTACTGAATAAAATATTTATTTATTATATTAATATTAATTTTATGTTGAATTTATTATTCAGTATATATTGCAGATCACGTGGGCAGATTACACACTGGTAAAAGACCTTAATAAAATGCAGAAGACACAGTAATACAGTATAAAAATTTAAAATCCAATAATGAGTGCAATAGGCTCCTTTTTATGAATAACAAGCATGCTTGTAACTCTTGTAACTCTACAAATAAACAGTGCAGTGTTAAATAAAAATAACAGTTCCACAGTGTTAAATTATTACTTTACAAAATGTCCTTCATCCAAGTTTTTGTTTTCTGCAAAAACAAAAGAGAACAATATTTTAGAAAGATTTAGCATAAAGAGGTGGTAAGTACACTGTACTGTACACACAGCTTTTATGAAAATAAAAGACAAGCCCCTATGAGCAGACAGTTTTTGTTACATACATAAAAAATATATATAATTATTGTTGGGATAAACGAGAATAGACTGTGTTAGCTGCGGGGGGGTTGCTGGCTGTTTCCCATGTGTCATGTAAGTTTTAAAAAATCATAGGAGGTGTTGATATATTTGTGTTGATATATTTTTGAATGCAGTGCTTTCATGCACAGTACATAATAAAAATAAAATATGTTTAGATTTTAAATAAGTTGCGACCTCCAGTTCGGCAGAATTAACAGCCTGGAAAAAGTTAAATTAAATTAAAAATCATTTTTAAAAAAATTAAAGAGGAGCGAGGAAAGACTTTTCACGAGAGAATTAATTGTAGTTTTTGGGGGATTTTTTTTTTCTTTTTTTGAGGAATTTGGTTACTCGCGAGCAATCTGAACGCTTTCAGTTACAAGGCCAAAGCTGATGGGTAGTTGATGTGTGTGGGAGTTGGATTTCGGTGTTCGTGTAGCTATATTAGAGGTCATTTTAGATTAAAAATGTAAAATATCAAATCAAATCACTTTTATTGTCACCAGGTACACTGGTACAGTACATGTGAGTGAAATTCTTGTGTGCGAGCTTCACAAGCAACAGAGGTGTGCAAAGTACAATAACATAAGAACAAGCAAATATAAGAATGGCTAAATCTGAGAATTATATGAATAAATATATGTACAATATAAGAGTGTATGCATATTACTGAATGTGTATACTAAATATGTATGTCTACGTGTGTGTATATGTGTGTGTGTGTGTGTGTGTGTGTGTGTGTGTGTGTGTGTGTGTGTGTGTATACATATTTTACAAATTAAATAGAGTAAAAATAAAATAAATATATAAAATATACAGAGGTTGGCTCTTATATGGCTCTTAAATTTGGACTCAACTCAAATACATGAGTAAAATAATAGAAAACGTGTTTATTTTACACTACTGTAGGCTGTGTTTTGATAAAATAGGAGCGGCTTCAGTGAGTGGCCGGTAATAACCTTTCCCAAACTCTCGCGATAATACGAGCCGGAAGATATCAGCCGAAGCGTTCGTACTAGTCAACTGGAGCCGCTTATGTTGTACTGCAGCCGTCGACAGTTTGGGGCGGTAGGAGGAGAGTGGACTGTTTGTTTTCATAAGAGACCGGCAGGAGGGGGGTGCTACTTTTTCGTCCTCGAGCAAACTGTGGTTTTTGTGTGTCCGTGGGAGAAGTAAGTGTTTTCATGTTGTGCAGTTTCCAGTGTTTGCGCGAAGACTTCCAACTGGCGAATCGCATCAGTTCGCCCGGAGGGTCATCGTCAGCGACGACACCCTCTGCTCCGTCAGCGTCGACCGTTTAGAAAATGACCGGAGAGAAGGTCCGCTCCCTGCGCAAGGACCACAGGCCGAGCAAAGACGAGGACTTACTGGAGCCCGACGAAGAGGCTGCGACCGGGACGTTTACAGCCTCCAGGACGAACAACAAGAGCAGAGCGAGTAAAATCTTCAGCAACCACAAGTTAATTAAGTCTTCATCCACACAACAACAACAACAACAGCAGCAGAACCAACAGTCGCAGATTAATGCTAACACCAACACACTGTCAACAGCCGATGTTATCGATGACAACAACAAAAACCCCATTATCCGAACTGGGCAGGACTTTCCGGTGCACGAATGTGTATTTAAGGGAGATGTCCGACGACTGTCTTCGCTCATACGGACGCAG